GGAGACATCAATAAATCATCTTACTAATATTTAAACTTATTAAGATGCTTTTACATTTTGTCTAGCATTTACTTCAATACATATATTTGATCAAGTTTATTTATATTTAAGAAATAACACTTATAAAACATTTTTAAAATCTTCAAACATTTCTAAAACGTACTAGGCCAAATAAAATTTCTTTTTATGCCAACTACAAACATTTCTATGATCACACTTATAAAAAATTTCTAAATTCTTCAAACATTTCTAAAATTTATCTTGCCAAATACAAAATATTTTTTTTCCAGATACAAACATTTCTAAGATCTACAGATACATTGGGCCAGGGTCGCGCATTGCGCGACTAGACATCACTAGTATGTATATATATATATATATATATATATATATCATTTTCTTAGGCCAATGATATTGCCAGTGCAAAAATTAGATTCCAGAGCAAATTATGCAGAATTCTCCCAAATTATCCTCATTAAGTCAACTCTTAATTTTACTCACCCCTCTATTTTCTCCACACCGAAACCATTGATTGTCCTCATCTTCGTCCATCAATCATCTTCCCAGAATTATTTTCTAGATTAACAAATTTCAATAGAACTCTGCTCAAACTAAAGAATTGGCAACCAAAATCCACAAACCGAGTACAGGAAAGCCTAGCTAAATGGACATACCCACAAAGAGGACGATCTAGAGACAAACAAGAAGCAAATTTTTCTTTAATTATCGATATTGGAGATATGTCAATCTTTCGAACATTGTTTTCGATTGGTGCAGGAGGCATAGTAGTTTTGTGATTGTATTGGCTCGAAATCCTCTACAGACACTACAAGATTGACTGGAATACTAGGATTTTAACAGGATTATATAGATAATAAGGGAAAGATTAACTGAAGTTGACTTTGAGCAAATCATGTGCCCAAAATTAACTCTGCAGAAATTTGAGGCTAATCTCAAATAATATACGCTATGACATACAACCAATTCTTATAATCTGAAGATGGAAAGCTGTGTTTTAGCTTTTGAGGGATAATTGTGGGGATAGTTGTTGGGAAGTTTGAGATAGAGAGTAAAATTAGAGATTAATTAACTCATCAAGCGTAAATTAGGAAAGATAAATATAATTTGCTTTGGAGGTTAATTATTATATTGACAATATCATTAGCCCATTTTTTAATTCACTAATATTATTATTTTTTTTTAAAGATGCTAATGCTATTTGTTATTATTAGTGTTTCTGAATTTTCCATCTCTACGAATAATGACCCGTTCCCATCTTCAAGCAGCGAAAGTAATTTTGGCCCAATCAGTTGTTTCAGCTGGATTACAGGAGCATAATTAAGTTCTTAGATGGTTATAAAATTAGTTGGTCTACATTAATCCTTGCTGATTCCTAGCTTGAAACTACTCAAAATCTTAAAATAAATCAATACATGACAACGAGGTCCAGCTTAGTAATAAGACGCCTTACCTGTAAACCAATAGGTCACGGGTTCGAGTCATGCCCGGAAGTAAGTGGAAAACCACTATTAATCCCTTAAAAAAAATCAATACACTACTCACATTCTTACTATACCCAAGAGATTCACTAAATCTTAATCAAAATGGAAACAAGTCCAATTGACAAAATTTCCAATGCACTTAGAAAATTGCCCTGGTTTCTATAATTTTCTTTTTCAAAAAGAAAGAAGCAAATTTTTTTTCCCCTAAAATGTAAAACTGCAAAGTTTGTTAAGATCTACAAATACTTTATCATCTTTACTTTTATTCGAAGTTTGGTTCATGATAGTAGCTTAACAAGAGCTAATTAGGCGATCTGACATGTGAGCTATACATGCTAGTTCGTCCAATTATTTCCCGTCATTTCTTCAGTACAACTCTCAAAATTCAATTTAGGTTGGAGTACTAAATTATGTTTTCTCAGTATGTATTAGAAATTTAATTGAGTTAGTTGAATAATATAATATATGTAATGAAACTACTTTTTATTATAAATAAAATGATGGTCTAGTTTAGATTGCACAATTTCATTTTTCACGTTTCAGTGATTTTATGCATTGCGTTACACTTTGGGATGAAGGTCTCCTAATGAAATAATGATGGCGGTGCCACTAATGGGAGTCAATTCCAAAATAAATGTGTATGTATTGTGTGCAATTTTTTGTTGCTCGATATGTTTTGAAACTAATAAATGAAAAAACCATCACCTGATTTTTGAATTGTTCTAAACATAAACAATGTATAGTACGTTTTCACTTATATATTTTCTTTCTTTTTTCTTTTAAGTTTTTTGAATTAAGAATTCAACCTTTTATAATTTCTTTTTTTTTTTTCCCTTTTTTGTTAAGATCATCAAATCAGGCAATTCTCATCATTCATTTTCTCAAAAACTACATAAGAAAAATGGTGAAGGGTCAACAGAACGAGAATGAGAAAACAAATAAACACTTCAGAACAGCTTTCTTCTCTTCATGAATATAAGCTGGTTCTTATTCTTCACGATCATGAGGCATTCGACAAGCTTTTCACTAAATTTTTGACACAAATTACAGATGAAAAATTATGTGCCCTATATATATAATATCTACTACTATATAAAAGCAAGAGTCCCAAAACAACAGTGCCCTTCGTTGTTGGAACAACATCAATAAAGAAGTGGTAATTTTGTAATTTAATTGAAAAACATGCCTAAATATTACAACTTTTTCAAGCCCAGACAAAAAGACCTAGCCCTTTTAAGTTTTAATCCCAGCTCCTTTTCATTCATTTTAGATTTTGGGTTTTACTTAATTTTTTGGGCATAAATTATGGCGTCTCAAGGGAAAAAGAAAAAAGTTTGGCTAAGTGCTTAACATTTATCAATTTTATTTATAAATAATTAACTTTTGATGAAGATTGATATATAAAAAAAGGTACATGTCATTTTATTCTTATTATGTATAATTTCATTTGGAGTATAGTCTACTACTATTATAAAAGGAAGAGAGGGACAACTACAGTATTTTTTGTCGCTGGTACATTCTAAGGGCATTTATATACTTTCAGAAAAATTGTCTGAATTTTTTAATCAAATGGACCATATTATTTGGACATTTGTCATTAATGCAAGAGGGGGGGGAATTCTTATTATGGTCGTTGTCCCCCTCAAGCCTTTTTTTTTTTGTCTTTTTCTTTTTTTATTCAACTTCTAAATTATATAAAAAACTAATATTACATGTGGCATCACAAAGGTTGGAACTTAGACGGATTGTGGGAGATGGATGATGATGGCCAAATATTACCTTCAAAATGCAAACTGGAGTTCACTTGATTGTTTTTATATTTAATTTAAGTGTTATACCAAAATATGTATTGTTTATCATTATCAATTCCAATTACTACATATGGCCATTGAAGATATTACGGTAAATAATAATATAAAAAATTATAATGTTTTTGTTAAAAAACTTTCGATATTAAGCACACAAATTGAGTTTTTTTTTTTTGGAAGTACAGATATCGTGTATTAATTTAAGCAATGAATAACATAATTCATCAATTTGTGTATTTTCTTAATGTCTACCATAAAATCATCCTTACTTTTCTTCTTAATTTTTGACACTTTAAAGTTTAAATAATATGAATGTATCCACGATCTTCTACACTAATGCAAAAATGTCTTAACCCTATATTACAATTAAATAATAATCTCTATATAACAGAAAAATAGTCTACTTTTGTAAATTATAAAAATATTTTTTAATAAAAAATTGGTCAATTCCATAAAGGTCTAACCATCAATTATCATACATTTTTAATTTTTCAACTTAAAATAGTAACTTACATCTATTTTTATTATAAAATAATACAAAAGCATTACAAAAATTCAATTACATTTTTCTTATGGAATGTCCACCTTACCTCTACTTTGAAAAATGAATAGATATAACCAAAATAAAAAAAGTGATTGAATGAGATGGTAAAAATTGACAATTACTTCAAGAGATTTGAATTTAAAGAATTTATTTGAATAACTCAATTTAAAATAAAATGAAGCTAAAATTATATTAAAATTATTAAAGTGTAAAATCTATTCCCGCGAGTAATCGCGGGCTGGAAAAATCTAGTAATATATAAAACAAAAGTACAAGCTGTTGAGCACTTGAGCTTACTTTCATTAGCTTATTTATTTAGCTTTCGTGCTTGGCCTTTTTTATTGGTTGCTTTTTATGCGTTCAATTAATGCGGTATACATCTAAGATTAAGAAACTTTAGCCTTAATTCACAGCCTTAGTTTACCTTCTCGTTCAACAACATTGCTGAACATATGTTGCTCGTAACTAGTATTGATGATTACACAGGAACGGTCTGATATGTAACCTCCGTTTAACTTGATTTAATCATTGGTGAATGGGTCAAGTAAACTAATGAAATAAAAAAGAATTAATTTATTTGACAAATCTCACAATATTGAGTTAGACGATATATGTGGTGTGGGGAAGTAATATTTAGACACTTCTCACATTTTCCGAAGACATGGTATAATATTCTGATGTATCATATATATTTAAGATTTCAGAATGAAAAAGAAAACAAAGTAATGAACCAGAAGCACAAATCATGTTTATAATATGTAAACGTTTCAATATTCATATTATTTGACCTACACCTCACACAAAAACACATACTGCGAGGGGGCAAAAACTACACAAACACAACTTAATTTGCATTCATTGACTAGCTACTCTCTCACGTCTTATTCTTCCTCAATTCAATAATGTTTGTATCCATACATACTACAAGTTTTGAAAAATCATCATTCAACCGAATCCTCTTCAAATTTGAGAGGCTTTCATGAGTTTGTACGATTCCGACACTCAATGTATGCACAAGTTCTCGGAAGCAAGCTGCCGCCTTTTATCCCTCTGTGCCCATAACCACCATTCGCTTCGATTATTTTCATGGAGGTCGACCATTTGAAGTCTTGTTGCTCGACGTCGCTCTGGATTCTTTGCAGGTTTTCAAAGTTGTAGTGTGATGTTATTAGCTCTCCGATTCCTGGACTTCTTTGGATTTCCTGATTCTTTCAAATCGCCTTCAAAGTCTTTACCCCGACCTATTGAAAAGCCATGGTCTTCGTAGAATTCATCACCAAACTCCACAACGTGTTCTTCAGGACTCCTCTTTCTAGTCGTCGTATCAACTAATTGCGAAACCATATCAAGTAGTTCATCAGGGTCGTCATCGAGAAGCTCCGGGCCAACTTCCGCATCCCAATCAATCTCGTCAATGTATTTATCAGCCCATGAATTAATGTCATCAGGAGGATGAAGACCACTTATTACTTCGTCGCGGTTCGGAAATCGCTTGTTCTGGTGAACAAACAATGTTACGAGGCTATAAAATCGATCCTTCACACTCCGAAATGCCTCTTCTCCGGCAGCGTCGTCCCATTGGAGCACACGATCATGAAGGTGTAAGAATTTCTTCATATCCACAAACGTTTCCCAATCAAACAATCCTATCACATCACAGAAAATCTTCTCCATTAATGAGGATTCATCATATTTCTCGCAATTACATGATGAACTTCTCCTTGAACTAGAAAGATGGTACGTTCCTTGCCCAGCTCTTTTATTTTTCTCAACTATCTGGCCCTCGTAAGCGACCAAAGTGGCAATGAATAAAGCGATATTAGTTAGGCAGTAACACAAAACGGCGAATAGGTTTTTTTCTCTTGAACAAACTTCACAAAGTAAAGCAAAAAAGAGCTTCTAATACATATATAGGGATCTTTTGCTGATCGATCGGCCTCGAGTTTATGATAAAAATTGTGATAGACAATTGTTGTATTTATAGAAACATAGTCCTTTATCCATTTCCGATTCGGTTTGATGTTTTCTTACTTTTATTTCCCAAATGTGATAGTTTCCTATTTGGTGTCAGATTTTTTTAATCTGATAATTAGTAATGGAATGGTTAATATCCAAATCTGATTTTCCACATGATTTTTTTTTCTTTATTTGAGGGGTATTCCTTGATATCATATTTGGATTTAATGCGTGAAACATCTATTCCTACCTGAGAATTCTTAAAACTTCGAACAATTTCGTGCAATGTAACCATGGGTTTAATTAAGTGCCACCCATTGTTTTTCCTCTAATAATAAGGGTGACACCTTTTTTTCTTCTTTGTACTCAAAAAAAAAAAAAGAAAAAGAAAAAGAAAGAAGGCAATTGGGCAAGTTCTTCACTATTCTCAAAATAAACAGAGAATTAACTAGATAAAAATAAAAATAAAAACTACAACCTCTCTTCCTCATACAAGAAATCCCATTGTTTTTCCTCTAATAATAAGGTTGACACTTTTTTTTATTCTTTCTACGCAAAAACAAAAAAAAAAAAAGAAGGCAATAGGGCAAGTTATTTTCTTCACCATTCTCAAAATAAAAAGAGAATTAACTAGATAAAAATAAAAATAAGAACTACAGCCTCTCTTCCTCATACAAGAAATCATTTAATAAATAAATAAATCAGGGGAAAAATTTTGTCAAAAAGAATTGTATGAATAAAAAAATTGTCAAAAAGAATTGTATGAATGAAAAATTTTTCCACTGCCGGGCTTCGAACCCGGAATTTCAACCCAAATGAAATTTGCCAGTGCTACAGCGGACATTTTTGTTAATTAGTGGTCGTAACAATATATATAAACACAGAAATGAAAACTTATCATTTTAGTTGATTATTCTATTTACTCAAGTTCTCAAACCATTGAGATTTCAGACCTCGACCGCCTTGAGCTTTTTTTCCTTTTTCTTTTTTTCCGTTTTACATACATAGCTGAGTCAGAAAGTGTATTAGATTGCGACATGGTTCAAGGAAAAAAAAACTAACAAACACTCTCGAATCCATTACCCCAAAATGCACTGCTTCAATTAATTATATTTTCTCAGCATGTATTAGAAATTTAATGTGGGTTATTCGTTGAATAAAACAGTATATTTAAAGAAACAACTTTTTGTTATAAATAAAATGATTGTTTAGTATTTTCATCGTAGCACGAATTTTCTTTTTGAGAAATAAAACTTTCGTTTAATTTCTGAGAAATCGTCCAAAGCGAATTAAACAAAACGAGTACGATATAATCCATGAGTACAACAACCTTACATATGATTTGCTCGTTAAGGATAAATCTTATACTCCATCTGTTCCAAAATTATTATGCACTTTGATATTTTATTTTTAGTACAATTTAAACTAGAAATGAAAACTCAAACTGGACAATAATTATGGGACAGAGGGAGTATATAATTGCATACAGTTTAGTTTTTCACATTTGGCTTTTCACGTTTCAATGATTTTATTAAGCATTGCGTTGCACTTTGGGAAGAAACTCACCGAATGAATAATGATGGCCGTGCCAGTTCAAGGTGTCAATTTTTTTTGTTATGAGCAATTTTTTGTTGCTCGATATGTTTTGAAACAAATAAATGAAAAAACCGTCACCGGTCTTTGGTACTCAAAAGTGATTTCCAATTTTTTTTTTTTTGTAAAACCTTGGGTTTGATTAATTTTGATTAATTTTAACATGGGAAAATTATACCTCAATGAGAGTAAAAAAAAAAAAAAGTTTTTTCCGCTGCCGGGCTTCGAACCCGGAATTTCAATTTGCTCGTTATGAAATTTGCCAGAGCTACAGCGGACCTTCTTGCTTAATGAGGACGAATAAATTTGTTTTATACGCAAATTAGTCAAACAGATAGATTAATTGACGTTGATTATCAAAATATTAATGGCAAAACCACATACATCAAGGAACTCTGAGCTTCTCCCTAAAACCCCCGGTCCGCCGTAACTCTAAACAAAACTACTAACATTTTTCCTTTTCACTTTGTTTAAAACTTCTTGGATAGAAACAAAAGACATCGGTTTATGTTTGTGCCTCGAGTGATATATATACTTAGCTTGCTTCTCATAAATAAGCTACTAGCCTAGTATATATCTAAACTTAAATGTAAGGTGGAAAGTATGGAACATCGGAGAATTTCTTTTCTTCTAGTTCAAACAATCACATAATTATCAAATGCCAACGTTAATCATAGCAAAATTACCCAAGTTGTTTTTATGTCTTTCAGAGCAAAACCATATGAGAAAAAGAGTATATATTTTCTGACTCTTTGAAAATCATTTATTCGTTCATTCATTTATTTTGTTGAATCAATCATTATAATTGAACGCCAATGATCATAGCTAAACTGTATTTTCGGAACGATACCAGAAAGTGAAAGAACACTCTATACATAGTTTCTCTGAAATCACACCGTAGAAATATCCGGAAACTTAAAAGTTTTTTTAAAGCCACTTCACGAGATAACAATTCTCTGAACGGGGACAGATACGTTAGCGAAAGCGGAATTAGATATAATTTGGGAATTATATTCTTTTTATGTCACCCCAAGATGTAATTTGTTACTACTAAATTATAATTCTACAAGTTAGCTATGTATTTTTAGCTAGGGATCTTGCCAAAACTTATATTTTGCTAAACCAAAAAAAAAAAAAAAAAAAAAGTTTCAAGTGAACTGACTTTTGGTTTTAAGGTTTGTTGCAAGAGTAGAGCAGTGCCTTAAGAAAATTAACTTTAACACTTTATAGTATCTTCAATAAAGAGCTAAAATAAAGTATTCATTCAATATTAAACGTGCATGTATCCAATTTGAATCCAAGAAACTAACGAATTCATTCAGGTAAATGCGATGTACTGAAAATTTACCGTTCCAAATTTTAAAGAATTCATTTTATAAGATGTACTATCTCTGTCTAAAAAATAGTCAGAATCTATTTTAAAAATATTACAAATCTCAGAATTCAAGGTGAACTATTTTTCTAGAACACAGAGAGTAATAAACAATTTTTGTCATCATACTCTGGTACCTTTGTTTAAATTGAGTAGAATTGTTTACATGGTTGTGGACTGAGTTGATTTTCTTTTAATTTTCATTTGTATTTTTTATTTCCCCCGGATTGTAGAATGGGAAACATCATTTTCGACTTCGTTTAAGGTTTTCCACATGAGAAATTCGCACCTTTAGCCATAGATTTCAGGAATATGAAATGAAACCAACCTTCAATGAAGGATTTGTTTCTCAGATTTAAAATTAAGTAGTACTCATGTAACACAAAATTGGGATACAGACTACAAATTCCACTCGCAACATGGAATCGCCCGTAAAAGTTTTAAATTAGGCTTAGAGCGCCCTCACTCAGAAATCAAAACAAGAATTGGTGAAAACAAAATTATCATCCGTAAGATGGTGGAGTATATATCTTCAAAACTACAACTGTTGAATTCGACTTATTCATTTTACACATTATTGATATATGATAGACTGATAGTATTTGCTTGTAGCATAATGGAGACTTAAGGATGAATTGATCTAAATAATTTGCATTTTAGTCATGATAAAATTACGATTACTAATTCAGAATAAATGTTCAATGACACACATGTGCCTTCCAAGTATCTATTAGCTCTATCTTCCCTGGAATAACTTTCTTTTTTTGAAGTGTCAAATGGGAACTGTTACTCCCCCATTGTTTTTCCTTTAATAATATGTGTGATTTTTGTTTTCCTTTTTGACCCAAAAAAATGCAATATTTATTTTCCTCGCCATGTCCAGATAAAAATTAAAATAATAAAAACTACAAAGTCTCTTCCTCAAACAAGGAATCATTTTTAATTTTTTTTTTTTTTTGGTAAAAGGAAAAAATTTGTCAAAACGAAATGTTTTAAAGAAAACATGACTGTAGGGAGAATAGTCGTGCATCACACAAAGTGGGATACAGACTACAAATTCCATTTGCAATATGGAAACATCCGTACAAAAATTTTATTAAATTCGACAAATACGTACATTGTCATCTTTGATTTTCTTTTACATGTTGGTGGTGCATGATGGTACTGCCTCCGTCCCATAATTATTGTCCATTTTTATTAAAAAATTTTGTTTCATAATTATTGTCCAATTTGACTTTTTATGGAATAAATTACATATTTGACCTTTAACCATTTTATTCCGTTGGCTACATACAGTAGAAGTGAAAGCAAAAAGAAGCCCCCCTTCTTCTTCCCCAGATAAAAGCCGCCAAAAAAAAAATTAGCAAAATTCCAGAGAGCTAAAAGAAATGGTGTTTTTCTCTAACCCGTTGGCATCAATCGAACCCAACCCGGCATTTTAGTCATGGATCTGAGAAAAGGCTACCTTGAAATTCTCGACCAACGAACCTCAGACCTCCACCGTATACCCATAGCCGCCGCCGGGGACGGCGCCGCTTCCACCTCCGTTTCGGCCTCCTCAGGCGGATCCGACAATTCGAACGCTGCAACCCATATCTCCACCTTCCTCCCATACGGTGCCTTTGTTTCTTGTTTCTCATATTTAAAAATACTGATTTCTTTCCTCACTCTCAATTCTTTTGCCAAGCTCACCAACGATGACTTTGCCGGCAACACTCCTTGGACTAAAGCTTTTATTGGCTCCTTAATTGGCTCCAACTCGTTTCCCACCTCGCTGGAAACATCAATTGAATCTTAGAGAAAAGACTTGAAATTATTCATCATATGAAAATTTAAAGATTATGGGTCAATCGTGAAGAACAAATGAAGTTTGAATATTTGAATGTGGAAAAATCTTTACCGATAGTTCAAACTAAAAAATAATTAAATTTGACGAAAAATAAAAATTTTCAACTTAGTCAAACTGGACAATAATTATGGGACGGAGGGAGTACTTGTTTGTCGCATAAAGGCGGACTAATTGGTATAATTTTATATTTTAGTTAACATTTACAAATTTAAAATAAGTGTTCAATTACTCGCACTTACCTTCAAAGTATCTGTTAGCTATATGAATCGTAAGTGTAGTGACCGCGGGTAAGTATATCGCGGATTAAATTTAGCTATGATCAAAGCAAATTTTTTGATAATTTAGTGACCTTTTCGGCAGTCTAAGAAAGTGTTGGAGAGTTTCTTGATTTGGAGGAGGATCCTCAATCTCTGAAGGCATAAAATTCATCTCTTTCGTGGCCGTTCGGGTGGATTTTTGCAAAGCTTTAATAACAGCAAGTTGTTAAACGATAATTGAGCTCTACGGTATTGATTTGGAAGAAATCCCAAAAGAGGTTTTCAAAAATCTTTCACCTACAAGCATTTGAGCTTAAGCTAGCCGAATTAAAAGTGTTACAGGAATTAGTAGTCAGTTCTTCGTGTGACAAAGGATAAAGAAACATTGGATCTAAATCATCCTATTTCTTCATCGTCCCTTCAATCCCTTTGCTGCCTCCTATATATTATATGGCCGCTTAGAAAACATCCCCCAATGGGTAATCAATCTTCATAGGTTGGAAAGAGTAGAGTTGAGTTTGAGTAATCTAACTGATGATCCACTCGGAACTCTTCAACATCTTCCCAACTTGTTCGAAGTTCAACTTGTTGGAGCTTATGTAGGAGAAAATTTATGCTTCAACGACTGGAACTTTTTAATATGACTTCAAACCTCACTGGCAAGTTGAACAATGCCAGTCATGACTCTGAAGAACAAAGGGAAGATACCAGAAGAATCTCACATGCTCCACAAGTGACTATCTGGCTGTGGATAAAATGGGAGATGGAGCTCTCACAATTTATCCCCGAGATAACAAGTCTCGAGTGTAGAAGGAAAACTCTAACTCCAACTCATATGTTGTTCTAAGCTAGTTTAAGAAAACATGATCTTACTTTGGAATGGAGAGAGTAACAATGATCTGTGTCATTTTGCTCTGATTTTGTATAGTCATTTTTATTCAATTTGTCTATGTCTGCTAAGGAACAAACTCTAAACGGAATGAGCACTAGCCCATGACAACACTCATTAGTCCTCATATCTACAAACAACATCGTCAAAGAATGCATGCATAAGATAATATAAGTTCAGAGATGATGTTGCAAGAAAAAAGCATCCATGAATGAGTACTTCATATTACTCACCTGTTATTTGTAGCATAATTCTAAATCAAAGTCCCTATTTCATCGATTCTACACAGTCAACGCCCTGCTACCTGAGCAGCTCCCTGGGAAGAAAGCAAGGACTCGTATACTGCAGAGTCAAGACGATCCATCTTCTTCATGATGTCACAGAACTTCTCAACTCCAACTGCGTCATTTCTCGCTTCAAAATACGCCAGAAACTTCTGTATCGTTTTGTCAGTGGGAAACCATTTATCCTGCTCCCTGTTAACCTTAGCTGAACCCATCTCTAGATACTTCAAAGCCAAATCTATCTGGCAGTTCTCTATGTGATAACAGGTTAGCAACTCCATCGTTCTTAAATTTGGTTTGTTGCCTTTTGCCACTATACTTTCATACAGAGCATTTGCTTCCCCAATCATGTCCCTCTGAAGGTAAGCTTCCAAGACCACATTAGTTACTTTCAAATCATACTTGGAGTGCACAGATTCCCATTCATCAAAACACTTCAATAGGCTTTCCAGGTCACCCAACTTGGAAAGAGCCAAAATCATTACGAGATAGCTAGTCTTATTGGGGATAGGAAAGACTGACTTGAGAGCCTCCCACGTACGATTAACTCCAGGCAAATCAGAAAGTTCTTTATACAGGTTGATGAGGGTGTGGAATTTCTCACGAGCACGCACTTTCTCCGCCTCCATCTTACATATAAAACCTGCAGCTTTGGGGTGCATTCCGGCGTTAATGTGAATGGTTGCCAGATTTGCATAGGTGAACCAATCACATTTTAAATCTTTCTGAGCCATATCTTCAAGAACTTTCTCAACTGCATCTAAATCCTTTTGAGCAGCATAGCTGTTTACTAACAGATTGTATATGTATATATTTGGCTTCAACATATTCTGCTCCATTTCTTGCACGAGCAAAGGAACTTGTTCAGGCTGATTAGCACGTAAATATAAAGCAGCCATATTGCTATAGTTCAAAGTGGAAGTATAACCCAGCTCCTTAATCTTGTGCCAGAGTTCCAGAGCCTTATCCAACAATTTTTCCTTGCTGTAACAGTTGAGAAGCGACCCATAGGTTTTGGTTGTTTTAGCAGATTCCTGAAGACTGTTGAAGTACATTTCTGCTGACTGTATGTCTCTAGTCTTAGCAAGTAGGTCTATCCGTAGAGCTCGGTCAACATCATTCATATCAAGTTCGCTACTTTCCAGCCATTCTGACAGCTACACTAGCAACACAGTGAGAAATATTTAGAGACATGGGAAACATGACAACTAATTTTTCAAGAAGCTTAAATAAGGGTTCATTTCCACAGGGGAATAACCAGCAAGAAACATCACAGCAAAATCAGAAGAAACCCCCCAACTGCATTCCTGGTGCATACAAAATAACAGCACTACACAATTAATTGGACACAAGTGGGGACGAAAATAAATGAAGTTCCGAAGCCAAAGATGAAAGCAGTCACAGGGGATAGGGTAAGTTATTGCTGGAAGAACAAAATGATCCTCCTGCTCACCTAAGATTGTCTAGAAACCAAACTTAGATAACATTTGCAGCCACTGGTCTGAAGACTTTACATTCTACTTTTGATAATATAGTTTTACTCAAAAGCATGATGACTATAATATGGTATCAAGGGATAATCGAGATGCATACCCGGCAGGTACACCTCGATTTTAGAGAAAGAAGATTACTAGATATGGTTGATCCAATCACTAAGCAAACTCTCCAACTAAAAGTCCGCGTGTATAATCCCTGATTTTATCTTGTTTTGTTGTGTTCAAGAACCAGATAGCAATGGAAAAAGATTTATCAGAGAGCAAAACTAGACAATCGATAAACCTCCCTGAACCGATCATTGCATCATCTCAAGTGAAAAATCTGCTACGAATTGGAAAAATCAAAGCCTTTTGTCTAGTGAGATAATTGGAGTTCATATGATCAAACTTCTGGAATATATTCATTCAATTAACGCCAGAAAGGAGCATACTCAAATTACCTTGAAGCAGCCAACTTTTTACAGTTCTGTTGTTTCTAAAGAACTGAAGCAAGAGCTCATAGATTGATCTTCTTACCCCTGAATTCACTATCTCAAGTTTAAATGTCTGATTGATCTTCCTCATAAAGAAGTAGTAACATCAAGAAATGCCAATGTGCCTAATTAGGGAACCAATTCCTTACTATTAGTGTAAGATTAACTTAAATTCTCTAATAACGCACTAAGTGGTAAGTACAATGACTTTACCCTTAAATTTATGTGCATATTTAATGAATATGATCAGATGAAGCATCGAATGACCTTTGTTTCCTCGTAATCTAAGAAATGTTACAACTGTTTGCAAGATTGACAATAACGACAGTTTGCAAAATTAATTCATTATACAAACTCCCATTCCTATAAACACAATTTTTATGAGCTAACATCTCCAACCACAGTGACTACAATCAAAACACAAAATTAAAAAAATCCACCTTACTAAGGGATGATTATTGACTGTGATTGAAACTCTCTTCTCCAGCAACAGCAATACCAAAAACAAGTTTCTTTTTTTTTTAATTTTTTTTTTAAAAAATCCAATTCAACAAAGAAAATAACCTGAAGGGCAATATGGTAGTGCTTCCGGATACGGCAAATGTTGATTTGGTCAAGAAGATCGGACCTTTTGAGCTTTTCTTCGTTGGCCCATTCATCAATTGCCTCTCTTATGTTAGTGGCAGAGTCTGGTTTGATTTTCAGCTCGTCCAGCTTTCGGTACAGATTTTTGGGTTTGTGTTTGGTGATTGTGGCCGCAGACGCCGTAGACAACCTCCGGACTGTCGCCGTTGATCGGAAGTTAAGAAGACGACTGGTCATTTTTGGTGTGGGGTTTTTAGTTCTCTCAAGTCCGCTGGGCACACAGGGGGTTTAAGAAGGTTTTAGTGAAAGAAAATCGGTTATTCACGCGAGTGAGGATTTACAATTTTATTTTTTGCCATCAAACTTTTTAGACTTTCCGCGTGTCTTTTTCTGATTGGACTGCAACACTTTTTGTTCTTTTCCCATTTACTCAACGGCGTCGATTCGTGTTACCGGGTCAATTTCGCGTTATATATTTCACATTATTAATAAGATTTTTTAGAACAAAAATGTGATAAAAACTCAAATCGAGTCATCATATCGTGTCGTGTCGGAAATTGACACCCTATGTTAAATAATAATGGTGTTATGGACCAGGAGGTGGTATTTTTCAGAAAGGGATTACTTCTCTTAAGAGGATATTTTGATCTATTATCTACTAAAGTCTTTTTTTTTTTGGAAATTTATCTACTAAAAGGGTTCGGGTAGCAATTCAGAAAGTTTCGGTTTGGGGTACGAATTCATAAGGGTGAAAGAAAAAAATTTAAGTGTTATTAAATCAATGTTTGCTTGCATTAAGGTTCATTGTTTGCTCTGATCATTCTCGTGGTTTCCTAATTAATGCAGAGAAGATTACCGATAAAATTGAAACGATACAGAGAAGATTGCGCAAGGATGACACGCACAAATCGAGAAATGGTCCTTGCATTTTCATTCTATTTCGTTATTGAATGTCTTACAGTAGATCAAATATAATGAACTTCAACATAGACGTAAAACTTTTTCGACCAAAGAGAAAACACGAGGATTGGTCTTGAAAGTGTTTGACCAATAATCTGCGAGTAATAATCATGTGTTGCTTAGCTCGCTTTTGTATATATATATACATATATATATATATATACATAATACATATATATATATATATGTATATATTTTGTTGCATTTTAAGCAATGGATGGCAGATTACTCAGAATTAAGACCAATGTGTTTTATTATTTCCCCCTTTTCTGTTCGTCTTTTTAAATTTTTTGGACAGCATTATGGTACTTCTGTGATTTTGCAGATTAATACTACTTCAAATTGTTTGTCAAAAAATACACTCCAAGAAACTACATACATAGGCCCGCGCTTAAGCGCCGGGGCAAAAGAACCTAGTACAATAAGTCAATAATACAAATTCAATATTTTTCTTCTGTACTATTCAGGCCTTTTTTTTTTTTTTTTTGGAGATCTTTTTTGATTTCATAACTACTATGACATCTCAATTAGTTTTGGGCTAAGGAAATACTAATATTATCTTTAAGCGTTTGCAATTTTTTTTTTTACTTTCTCATGGATTAAAATTTTACACTGTCATCTTCTATTTGGCATTGAACCATCATATCAATTGTATAATTTCGTTTTATGCATACAGTATGACGCCAAACCGAACTAGAAACAATGTTGTACAAATTCTAACATCAAAAGTGTGTCCGGAATTTTTTTTTTTCACAACGTGACTAAAAAGTGATCTACTCTGTATGGTTGAGTTTGGCAATTTTAGCTGTTTAGAACTAAACAGAAGAGACATCTTTTCCTAAACAACAGAAACTCAGCTGCAAAATAAACACAGAGCAAAACACTACATGAAACAACCTACAGAGGATGCATCCCTTCTCCATAAAAAGTTTTGGCCTGAAGAAATTCTCTGGATTACATCAACAGCGCCGTCTCCATATAATTGACAACCACAGCTACTACCCCCACCCTGTCATGTAAAACCTCAATCTGACAGGTCCCAAAGTTCCACGCCCCGCCAACAGGCATTTCATCACATCTGAATATGTAGAACATATAAGCCTCTCGGACTTTGTGAAGCCCAGAGGACTATCAATCATTCCGTCCATCTGCATGGTAAAGACTCTCATCAAGGATGAGTCAGCACCGTAGTCCTGCATCAGCCATACGTCGACGTTACTATGTCCCTGACGAGATCTAGGAATCCTACACAAGACAAAAGCAAGGCTTCTTCTGAACTCCACCAGATTTCCACTACCGAAACCATCAGCTCCATCATAACATGCTTCAAGCAACATCATCAGTTTGAAACTCTCTTCCACGAGATTGAAAGCAGCAATTTGAATTAACATGTTATCCATCACATCTACCACAACTATCCAGTATCCGGTCCCCTGATTGAAGTAAGACTCCAAGCAAAGACAATAACAATAACAGGAACCTCTGTCCCAGCGTCCAAATTCCATATTCCAGTGTGCAAGCTGTAAATAGAAACTTCAAAGATACGAAGCCTGTTACGCATTTTAACAACACTCAAGTCATTGTGGATCTCATGCCACCCCAATACATAATCTGTTCCTGGATTAGCCCAACAACCGCTATTTCATACCTCACAGAATCGATCCCTTAATTCACCTATTACTTTGCATTTCCCAATAGCAAAGTTCCAGAGGATGATATTCCAACAAGAATCAGACTTTAATGCTAAACAAACCAACCTATTACACGAACCCAAAAATCAGTCCACCCCAGACCTAAAAGGAAAGGGATGGTAGAAGTTACTGACCAATTCAAATGGGATGCCAAAGAGCACATAGGAGGGTTGTTCCTCAGTAAGAAGGAGATTGTTATTAACTCCTATATCCTTTAAATACTTGTCATATACGGTTAGGAAATGAGGAGATTTGATGATGAATAACCATGATTTGCATACAAGAATGCATCTGACAAAGGTCATTTGCAGGTACTCTAAAAAGTACCGAGAACAAGAGTTCAGGGGTAGATATTTTTTACGCATTTTTCCCAAACAAGCTATTTCAGATACTAAGAGCAACAAGATGAATTTTGGATTAAGGGTGAGAACTTCCTATATGATAACTAACACAGAGAAAATCAACACAACAATCAAGGGTAATCAAAGGAATGATAGGAGTTTTTGATATTGTCGAAGATGATCTACGGTTAGTATAATCTAAAGAGAGAAATATGACTACTTGGCATTAAATTACAAGATAGAAAAGGTCGTTACAGAAGGCCTTAAATGATGAAATTGCAACGCAGCAATCCGTTTCAATCTATCATAACAAATTTTTTATTAGCCTGCCGACTGTATTCCCAACTTGGTTGAGCTTGGGGTCAAGATGTACGCATTAGAGTAAATACAGGAAACAATATTCAGATCTGGATAGTGTACCTACAAATGACCTTGTCCGATGAAATGTGAGGATAAAGTTTGAAGATAAGTAGGAACAGCATTAAATGATGAAACTGCAACGTGACAAGAATTTCTAATCGTTTACAACATTAGAAGACTTTGCTATCGTGTCACTGCATATTTCCTCCTCCAATTGTATTAGAGTGCTCATAGTAAATTTGTTCTTATGAGGGATTGAAACGGTCCTCAAATTTACTATGAGTGCTCCAACACAATCTGATGAGAAAATATGCAGCGAGACGATAGCAAAGTCTTGTCACGTTGTAAACAATTGCAAATTCTTGCCACATTGCAGTTTCATCATTTAATGCCTTCGGAAACACACTGTTTTGCTTAGTAATTTAGCGGCCAGCAGTCATAGTTTCTCACTTCCGATTGCACGAAATAGTCTACATATTGCTACTGTGATCATCTTTGATGATATCAAAGACACCCTTCTATTCTTTGATTTATCTTGATTTTGCCGTGTTGAAATACTCTCTGTTAGTTATCACATAAGAAGTTCTCAGCCCACATCCACTAGTCATCTAGTAGATCTTTATTATAGAAATAACTTGTTTGGAAAAATGCTACAAACAGATCTACCTCCTAAACTCTTATTTGAGGTACTTTTAAAAGCACCTGCAAAGGACCTTGTCACATGCATTCTGGTATACAAGTTATGGTTATCTATTATCAAATCTCCAAAATTTCTAATTACTCATGTTAAGTATTTGAAGGATATCATAACTGATGACAATCTCCTCGAGGAACAGTCCACATATGCTATTTGTGATGTCACATTTGCACTGGTCGGGAACATCAGTTATTCACTTCTTGTCAGGCCTGGGATGGATTGACTTTCGGGTTGGTGTAATGGGTTAGTTGGTTTAGCATTTAGGTTTGATTTTGGTTGGAAAGTCCTCCTGTGGAATTCTGCTCTTAGTAATGCAAAGTTATAGATGAAAGTCACATCGGTCATTTTGTTCTTACTGCTAAAAGGTTCAAATCATTTATGAAATTAAGAGTATGTGAGGGCTATACAAGATGGTTTGGTATATCAAGATGACATCTGAATGACAGTAAAAATTGTTAACTTACCCATCCATCAAGGAGTTAAGTTTTAGTCCAGAAAAGTATAAAAGAGAATGGAGAAAAGTACAACATAATGAAGATACACAGTGAATGAATATACAAACATAAATATTCTACGCATACTCAAGAGAGATGATCCAAAAGCCATCCCCTTGTGCATAATTTATGGAGCAAATCATAAGAGACATAACAACTAAGAACATGTCTTGGCTTTAAAGAGGAAGAATTTAAGAAGTTATAGTGAGCAAACAATGTGCAAATATAAGAAACAAGGAAGTTCGTGATTGAGCTTTAAATGGCAAGAACTTGAAGTGAGTAGAATAAAAAGAATTTGGATATATAGCCATAGCAACGACACAACGATATGCAATAACTCGCATGGCAGAAATAAATACAGGAGAAAAGTTATTATCCTTCTCCACAGACCGAAAGCATCGCTCACAAAAGGAAAACAACAGAAGAGAAATCATCATTATGTCTACACAGAACACAGAAAACAGGAAACCAACAACTAGAAGCAGAATATGCAAAAGGTACAACTAAGCTCGATGGTACGAATTGGCCCTAATCTGAACAATTGAAATGTAAATTTAGTATAGCAGTAAACAGAAAAGGTGCAAAATTTAAAGTTTCCTTACCATCTTTATAAAAAACACAACATGCCAAGAACAACAGAAGGTTGTCAGGGGGAAAAATAATAGTGAGAGGTCCATATCCACTGCAAGATCACGGTATTGATATCATTATGATTAAAAAAAAACAGCTTTCTTTCAATAGTTAGCTCTTCTACGTCTATCAACTGCATCAACCAAAGTTTCCAATGTAAATGCCACAGACAACCCCTTACACGACACAAGTTGTTTCTTCCAGAAAAAATTCTCCATCAGCAAGCAAAACACATAACCAACTTTGAATTTGTGAGGTCAATAATAGGTATAAGGTAAAAAATCATTCCAACACAGAACCTTCACAGGGAATTTAGAATCCAAAACTATCCTTAGACATAAAAGATTGAGAGCATTCTTAAGCTGTGAAACACCTGACTTTGCTCAACTAAACCAAATGATCCAATGTCGTGATTTTCTTAAGTTCCCAATAATCTCCAAAAAATAAACCCAATAAATACGACTACCATTAAACATAGTACTAACCCGGAAATGTGTACTCTGGATTGAGCGTTCCGCCCATTTGGTTCTTCCGGCCGAAACTATTAGACCTCTGTTGTTGGCCGCAACACAGGGAAGATTTGTTCCAGCTTTACCTCGCCGAATAAGCAAAACCAACTAAGAAGAATCCTCTGTCAATTTCTTATATCCATGAGAATTGAGAACTCCGCCATCCCTCAAAATCCTGATACTTGCGCCAGTTCATTACGACAACCCACGATCCGTACAAGCTTTTTAACATGTTTGAAGAAAAATGGGATTTTTACAGTAAAGTGGCGAATTAATGAAGCTTTTTTTTTTTTTTACTCTAAAATTGATTGGTAATGTGCGAAATTTTGAGACTCAGCGCTTCCGTATTTATTTGTCAATTGCGGAGTTTTCAAAGCTAGCCGAGGACTTCAACTGTGAGCTTTTTTCTCTTTTTTTTTTTTTTTTTTTGCTTATTCTTCTTTTACCCCTCTTTTTTTTTTTTTTTTTGAAAAAAAGGTATCAGGGAAATTGTGCTTGACAATTGAAAATCTCAAAACTGTTACGATTAATTTTGATAGGGGCTAGTTTTTTTTTTTTTTTAAATCTAGTTTTTTGTATGATCAATTTGTATTTCAAGATATCTTAGATTGAAATTTTATTTTGATTTTAACAATATTAAAACTTGTATCAGTAGTTTAGACGTTGGTATTTTTTGGAATTATATTTTCATTATTGGGACATGGATCATTATCTTTGTACACTATCTACTTTCTTCATTCTTATAAAGAGTTTTTCTTTTTTTGTTAAAATAATTTAACTAACGTGATTTTTATTTTGAAACGGATAAAATATAGTATCATGTAGTACATTATCTCAAACTACAATTAATTACTTAGGCAAAACAATATCAACCTGAAAGTTTCATGAATTTTATTTGATTTGTTATAGGTGACACTAACTGTATTTTGTCAAATTAAAAAGGCTTGCTTAAATACATACATGCATATATCCGTAAATATAAAGGTGCAATGAGTCATTTGGTGCTCGAAGTAGCTTTGAACTATCCAATTCACTGGATCCAAATTAGCTTTAGCTACCCAATTGACTTATGTTATATGTATTTTATTAACGAGCTGCCCGATTCTGGTTAGTCGAATTCTAGTTAAAAAGAATTCTTTGGATAATGATTTACAGATAGTCCCAAGTAGGCTGGCTGAATTAAGGTGTTTGAAGAATTGTTGTTGAGCTAGCATGGAACGTTGAGTCGTTTGGATAATTGATTTGGCAAACGAATATTGGCACCAGTAATATTGCAACAAACATTTTAGTACCGGAAAAGTACTGAGATGAGCAAAATGAGGTTTTTTATATGTATGGTGATACTTATAATGATCATATCATACTCGAGAGTTGGGTTGATTGATATTGCAACATTCCATTCTTCATCATGTACATAACCGGATCCTTACAAATACAAAAGAGCCAAAATTATATGATATGGTTTGTCGTTCAAGTTTTCAAGGCATATTTGATTCACACAAGGACGAAAAAAACAAGTCATGGCCATTTTTTATAACAAGGATACAGAATTGAAGATTAATCAAACACTCTAAATATACAAACGTTAGCCTTTGGTTAATTTGTACTCCCTCTGTCCCATAATTATTGTTCAGTTTGAATTTTTATTTTTAGTTTAAATTGTACTAAAAAGTGAAATATTAAAGTGGACAATAATTTTGGAACAGAGAGAGTAATTCGTAACTTCTCAAAATTATGTACGTAACTTTTGACTATGATGAATGTGTCTAAATTTACTGGGGAAGACTCGTCCAGCAAACCCTGCCTATCGTTGAAACTATATGTTTTCTTAAGATGTCACAAGTTCACTACATATTAATTCATCTCTTCCCCAACAATGAAGAATCAGCAAGATCGGCCATTTGCAATATCTTTGGCGTTCCGGAGGTCAATGGACACGGTAAATATCTCGATCGGCTTACCTTCTGTTGTTGGAAAGTGTAAATCTGAAGTTATTGCAAGTATCAAAGATCGGGGGTGTGGCAGAAATTGCAACATTGGAGCTCGAAGATTCTGTCTAGGGCTGGGAAGGAGATTTTGATTAAGTCTGTTATTCAATCGATCCCATCTTATGCCATGTCACGTTTTCTACTACCTGATAATGTGCTAGACGAACTACAATCTATGTCTAGCAACTTTTTGTGGGGGCTCAAACAACAGAAGGAAAATTCATTAGAACTCCTGTGCTTCAATGTCTCACAGCAAGCTACATGGCGGTTTGAGATTCCGTAATCTGAAAGCTTTTAACATGGCTATGTTAAGTGAGCAGGTTTGGAGGCTCCTCACAACCCCACA